CGTTTATATGCGACCGCGGACTATTCCACACGGATCTGGAATGTGCGTTTCAAGATTAGCGTTAACAATCAAGAGACATGCGACTCGCAATATATTCACCTTCCTTGAACTCAATAGATTTGCGCAGCTCGTGTGCATCCATCCATTTTGTGCACCCAAGCTACGCAAATCTGACGTACCTATAAGAAACTTTGATGGCTAAACCCTTCCGCGCACCGTGCACTACGAAGCAACCTAAGGAGGACAACACATTAATCAGACCACCTGGTTGTCGTGTACCACGCATATCTGGGAATATATCGTTTGTTCGTTTCCATTTTGCAATATATTTATTTTTCCTACTTCGTCTAAGTTGCGTGCTACTCCGCCTCGTGAAAAGGTTGTTGCAAATGTCAGAAGAATTTGCAGTCTGTACTCACTAAATACTGAATAAAAGTGTTTATACAACAAAATACTTTGCAATGTTTGTCTTGAGAAAATCATCCAAGTTCACGGCAAATCCTGAAAAAGAAAAACCGTCAATTCTCACGAGTATGATTATTTTCATGTTTCTACCGCTCGAAGAGCATAATGTCGCGAGGGGTGCTTGACAGTAAATCAAGTCTACCGTATCGCGGAGATACATGACCACTTGAGCACAACACATCCACACCCCCCAAAAAGTGTTGTCATTCAGAACTGCCAGAGTACATTGCCAGACAGTTCCGCCTCCGTAGTATGGCCAAGTTCATCGGTTCAACTAACTCAAGGGATGGCTGATCATTTCGTAATGTAATTAAAGCCATCCCAGTGGCAACAACATTAAGTGGACCAAGTGACGCACAGGACCTGCTCCTCGTCCATGCCCAAGCCTCAAATGAAACCTCGGTGAATTCGTGCAAGTTGTTATTACGTAATCGCAGTCGGAAACGGTTTGCCATCATTGAGGTTTTGGAGATAATGACGTTACGTCAGGTGTTGGTACAGCGCGCGAACGCACCCTGATTCGGATGACTACGTCCGTCAAACGCGGACCTATCAACACTCTACATGCGTCAAAGAGTGTCGAAGAGCCAAAGCAATCACTAGTGAGTCACCACTGTCCTTCAGTAGCAATAATGCAAGGTCGTTCGGACCAGACACATTACTACATTTTAGTAGTGCTGCCCGAGTCCTTTCTCTTCGGCAGTGGGATTGTTACGTCAACACGACAAACAGGTTCGGGTGACCCGGTTACGAAATCTGATGGTCCCGGCCAGCCGACTTGCTCCTTAAAGTTCTCGACGTCAGTAGAAGCGAAACAGCCGTTCACCTTCCACAGTTACTGTGTCCCTTATGGGTTTTTTTGGACCAGTGCATCGAATGAGTAAGAGGAGTGTTCTCTAACTGGTCTTCTTCATCTCGTGGGACCTCGTCCGCGAGCAATGCTCTCGGTAAATTGGGGACTTTAGTCGAAAGACATTTCAGTATTGCAGACCCGCTGAAATTGGCATCCCGATAGGGCCGTATTTAATGCTTCAGTCAGACGAATCCAGACTCCAGAGATCCATGCACTATTCCGAGGCCTAAGGAGAGAAGAGTAAAGAACTGCGAATGATTTGGAGACAACTCCAGTCTGCATTCGGTTTATCCGCCTGGTCCGTCAGTGACATCTGCTTCGCGGATCGTGACTACAGCTGATCGGCCAACAGGTGGTGCAATCAAGTATGTGCCGAGCTGGTGAGTACTTTAAGACCACTCAATGCTAGACTCGGCCGAAGTATTTTAAAGTGCAACTTTCTCAGTATGTTTACTACTGAGGGTGCCGTAAATCAGGTAATCGTTAGTGTGGGCTGTCTAGGCTTAGCTCAGGTGACAAGT